ATGTGGTGCTGGGGGATTGAACCGCGGTCCCTGATGCTTTGCCAAGCTAGTTCCAAGTAGGTGCTTTAGACCACTGAGCCATCTCTCCAGCCCCCACCCACTCCTTTGTATGTCAGGATGCCCTGTGCTCCCTAAATACCTGCTGCCTAGAGGTGATGGGTGTCCCCTTGCCGCCTAACCTCACTTATTTGTTTTCCCATCTCTGGAAGCCCCCAGAATGGTGGAGCTTGTGTTGGACATAGGACAGAGCTGGCTGGAGTTGAACGCAGTAGGAGGCCTCCTTAATCGTTATCCTCCTCATTAGCTGTCACCCAAATGCTTGTTATCTGTGCCAGCAATCACAGGAAGCCTGATCAGCTGCCCTCCCCTTGGTATTAGGCCAGCATTCAGCCTCGGCCCAGATTTTGCCGTAGCCATTTGTCAGGTGACTAATTGCTACTTTCCCCTCCTGCAAACATCCGCAGCAGGCCTTGCCTGTTGAAAGCCCAGCCCTCCATCCCATTTCTGAATAGAAGATGGTTCCAAGTGTGCCCTTGAACAGCTTTGGATAGCACAGCCTGAGGCAGGCAGATGTTTTTCTGCAAGAAGGGGTGGTCCTAGAGAGGATGCAGAAGTGCAGAGCAGTTTCCCTGGCCCTCAGAGGTCTGGCATTTAGAGCTCTGACGGACACCATTTGTGACACCCCACCCCCGGCCACCCTGTGTGGTTCAGCCTTTTTGCAAAGCCAACAGGAGGCGCCCAGTGTGCATGGCATCACTGGTGCAGATCAGCCATCCCCTCTATAGAGCTCTGCCTCAAGGGGCCGTAGGGTACCTAGGTTGTGGCACGTTGACGGGTCATGGTTTTCTTTAAACGTCAGCAAGATAGGAAGTTCAGACAGGCTGCCCCAGGTTTCCAGTTACCTTTTTTATATATGGTATTGTGTCCTCTCTTCATTTTAAAAATTTATGGTGAGCCGGGGAGCTGGCTCAGTGGAATAAGCGCTTCTCTCGCAAGCGCAAAGACCTAAGTTCGATCCCGGTTCCACAAAAATATGTGTGTGTGTGTATATATATATATATATATATATATATATATGTAACCTATGTACTGGAGTGGTCAAGCAATCCCGGATAGTCTACTATAGTTTATATAAAAATTAGTCACTGTCTCGTGTGTAGAATCAGGGATCACTGATGGAATTCCCAGTAGTCTAGTTTGGCCAGCCTCGCAGTTAAACTCACCTTTTCTACAGTGAGGAAACTAGAGGTAGCGCAGTGGTGCTACAGTGGTCCTTGGTACTCATCTTTAACTGGTTCTGGGAGGTGCAGTATATACCAGAAACAGTGGATACCAAGCTGTTTTGGCTGGAAGGGCAGTGAAGCACAGGGTGGTTGGCATGGACAAGTTATCACTTGTTGGTCAAGTACCAGAGAACAAGGACAGCGCTGGGGAAAAGATTCATGATAAAAAACATTAATGGCAAATGTCATAAAGGTACCAAGCTGTGGCTGCATATCTACTGGTTTTCTCCCCCCATCTTATTAGCTCAAGATCTTGGAGAATTCCCATGAAGGGATTCAAGTTACCACAGTAAAACAGAATCGCTTCCTAGTGCAGTACCAGGAGCTCTCCAGGGTACTGAGGCAGTGCAGCTCCACGGTGCTCCTCAAGCCGCAGGGAGCTGCTGAGCTTATGAGCTGCGCTGTGACTGGTCCTGCCAGAAGAGGGCCTGAGGTGAGGTGGGAGGAAGCCCACCCGTCCTGGAGCTGGTCTGCGGGAGCCTCTCCCAGGCCTGGCCCTGCTGGACCCACGTCTCTGGAGAGCAGGAGATAGCCACCGCAGAGTGTGCCGCACGGTTGGGTAGCTCCTAACTGGTGTAGTTCAGAGTGCGGCGATTCTTGAATTCCAAAAAACATGAGAATCTTTCAGAAGGTTATAAAATAGGGTTCTGAGACTAGATCTGACACGAGCCCAGGACCGGATCAGCACCAGCGCCTGGGTGGGCCACAGTCCACAACTTGAGCATGCTGCTCCCGTGCGTTGTCTCTTTGAGTCTGGAGGCATGAAGTTGTGTTTTGACCGAATCACGACAATAGGAATGATGCCCTTGAGCTGGACAGCAGTGCTCAGGTGCCGTGCACACCTCGGGAGATTTCGCCAAGTGTCCTACGCCCTCCTTCTGTTAACGTCTGGGGTCACAGGCAGGCTTCCCCTGCGGTGCCCATCTGCCCACCCAGCGTTCATCTTGCCCCTGCTCGTGTACAGTAAAGGAGGACATGCCAGAGCCGTTGTGGCCAAATCTAATCAGTTATTCAGTAGGGCTGTCTGATCATAATTATTGGGGAACAGAAGTGTCCTGGCTTGTCACATCTGGAAGCTAATGTCAGCTATCGTGGTCACAGATAAAGCAGTAGTTAGGTTCAGGGATCTTGTTTGTCCCTCACAGGGTACACTTGTAAACAGAATCATTCATGGTTTATTGTTTAAATTTTTGATAATAAAAATAAAGCAACTAGTTTTAAATACGTTATAGCATACTGTTTGCATGCATCATTCTTCCTTACATTTAAAAAGGGGTTGTTAAATTATCGTTCATTTTGAAGTTTCTGTTGTCATATATTGAATACCTACAGGATGTAACTAAAACCAGAAAGCTATGTTGTACAACACGGAGAAATGGTTGTGGCTGTGTAATTCACTTTGTTCTCCTAAGTGATTATTTCTATTTTGAACAAGCATTTAGTTTTTCAAAGCCCCAGGTTTTGGGGGTTTTTTAGTGTCAGTGTTGTCAAGATACTGGATATTGAACAATGCAGAACATAGCAGTTCAGACATGCTTCTGGCCCAGGGGCTGTGTGGCGACGGCCTTGGCCTGGCTTCCCCAGCAGCGTGCTAGAAGTGGGGCTGGGAAGGCCCTCTGGGGGCGGCTGCAGTTCGAGGGCTGCTCCTCACGCAGACACACCCACACTTGTTTGTTAATACCATCGATGGAAAGTTGAAAAAATACAGCTATCCAAGATGAGGGATGCGTAAGTTGGCTCTTGACTTGGTTTGGTTTGGTTTTTTTTTTTTTTTTTTTTTTTTTTGAGTGGAATCTCCTTCAAACATAAGCCAGGGTGGAGGCTTGAGACAGTTCTGTCTGTGTGAGGTAGATGCAGGAAAGAAAAGCCCTGTGATGTGAAGACTGGGCCCTATTCCCAGACTGGCCGAGTGTGCAGGGCTGAGCTCCCACCTAGCCCAGAGCCTCGGTCAGCACTGGCCGTCACCGTGTGCTGCCCCTAATCTGTCTGGCCGTCACCGTGTGCTGCCCCTAATCTGTCTGGCCGTCACCGTGTGCTGCCCCTAATCTGTCTGGCCGTCACTGTGTGCTGCCCCTAATCTGTCTGGCCATCACCGTGTGCTGCCCCTAATCTGTGCTTTGGGTATCACTCTCCTTAGGGGCTTGTCAGCCTCCCTGTCATTCCTTTTTTCTTTCAGTGTATCTTTCTACTTTTAATCTCCTTGCCATGACAAAGATCTGGTGGCTATTTTATTATTTGATGTATCTCATTTATTGCAGAGTTTTATGTCTATGTGTGTGTGTGTGTGTGTGTGTATTTTAGGGAAGGGTCTACAGTGTGTTCAGGGTCTCACTACTAGATCAAACTCGTAGTGATTCTCCTGTTTACAGCCTCCCAATAGCTAGGATTATAGGTAAGCACCACCACGCCTAGTCTCAATTGCCATCTCAGTGCACCCCAGGGGCGCGGTCGGCATGGCAGGCCTGGAGATTGAACCCCAGGCTCCTGCACCTGCTTGCAGGTGCTTTAATTTGCTGAACTATTTGGCCAGCCCTCTTCTTTTTCTTAATTTTAAAGGCACGTAGATGAGGGCTTGTGAGTTCGCTCAGTTGTCTAAAGCACCTGCTTGGACAAACTCAGTCAGGCACAGGGGACCACAGTTTGATCCCCAGCACCACATGCTGCACCAGACCTGCTCTTAAGGCAGCCTGAGCTAGCCAAAAAAATAAATAAATAAAAATTTAAAAAAATCCTAAAAGCAAGTAGATGGAATATTTGTTACCAGAAGATAGTATTGCATTTCTTTACAATTTACATTGCCCTTTCCATTCTTAACTGGAAAAATATTTGAGAATAACTGTTGGGGTATTAGAGTACTATTGAATTTTTGCAAAGCTTGGGCCCAGTCCCTCCTTGTTAGCTGTAAAGACCAAAGGGGCGGTTCTCTTTGGTCTGAGACAATCAGCTCCAGGCACAGGGAGTTCCTTCAGGCCGGCTCTGCTTGCGCCTTGCTCCTCTCGTCTTGCCCTGTTGGCACAGCCTCATGGACTGATGGCACCTCCTCTTTCAAGTTTGTCAGTCTTCACGTTTTTTGAGGGTATTTTTCTGGAAAGCACAGGAGGCGGCGCAGGACCTGAGCATCCATCCCTATATGATCACTGCGTAGATCGAAAATGAGAACATTATCCATATGCCGTTCCTCCCCGGGCACGTGTGCCTCCTCCCCGGCTGACACAGCCCTGAGCGGGAAACTCAGATTACTCTGCCAGGTTCTGAACTCGGTGCAGATAGCTCACACTGTGTGTGTTACTCTGTCTGAGTCTGTAAGTCAGCGTTACATTGATGAGATCCGTCCATGTGTTGCAGGCAGCATTAGTTTCGTTTTCTGTGTTGTGTACAGTGATGCCTGACGTCGTGAACCTAACTTCAGAGTTCGGTGTGTGCACTGTGGTACCACTGGATGTGCACTGTGAGGACATTCGCAGCCCATTTACCCTTCAACTCCTGACCGACATTTAGGTGGTTTATAGGTTGGGGAGACTAGAAATTCGGGTACACGTGCTTTGCTACACCTACGTGTGCATTCCTTTTGAGTTTGTCGGTAACGTCTATCCCTGGGTTTAGCATGCGGTGAGAAGCAGTTGCCAAAGTGACTGTAACAGCTAGTGCTCCCTGGAAGATGGGGGTTCTGGCGGGCTTATGTCTTTTTGGCTCTTGATACTGTGTAGGTTTTAAGTTCAGCCGTCCTGCACTTGTGTCCCGAGCCCTTGTAGCTTTTGCATTTTCTTGGTCACTGATAATGTTGACCACCAGGGTTTGTAGGGCTTTTAGGTATCATCCTTCCAAGTTGCTTTTCACATCATTTTTCATTTTTTCTCCTACATTGCCTTACTATCTTCAGAGTTTAGTTACATATTTTGGGTAAGAACCTATTGGGGGTTATCTTGTGCATATGCACATCCCATGTTCCGTAACATCTGATGAATGTAATGTAACTTTAAATGAGCTTCAGTCTTTGCCTTTATGATTCATTAAAGAAAACTCTGTGTCCATCATAAAATGCTCTTCCATGCTCTGGTCTAGAATCCCCAGGTCTACACTTACATGTACAATCCAGCTGGAATTGATTTTATGTAAGGTTTGGGCTGAGAGGGTCCAGATTCATCTTCACCAGGATGTACCACCCTACCAGCATTAGGGTCTGCTTTTGAGTTTACTGGGGGAAAAAACCAGTTTCGGACTTGTGGGAAAGCCACAAGGACAGCGTCGCCTTCCCGCACTTTGCGCTTGCACGCTCTCACCCCAGGACCTCTGTCTTCACTGAGCAGGCAGCACTGACCCAGCACTGCTAAGCTCGCGCATACCCAGGTCAGAGCTGAGGGCCTGTGGCCAGGGGAGGTGCTGTGGAGCAGTGCCTTGGGTCTGTCCACAAGCCTGCAGTCAGCCAAAAGCCCGTCGGAGGAGGAGTCGGTGTTCACGTGGGCTGTCCCAGAGCAGAGCCCCGCGCTGTCCCACAGCCTAAGATGTGAGCCCAGTGCTGTGTCCGTGGCTCAGCCTCTTCCCTCCTTGGCCTGGCCTTGGGAAATAGTACTGTCGCTGCCGCTTCTGAAGAAGGCCGGTCAGCTGGCCGCCGGGACTGCTAAGTCTTTTGCTGGTCTTTCTCTTCTCATCACTTCTGAACTCAACCACAACAAATTTCAGTAGTATCAGAATACTTGAAAGTCTGCCTAGTACAGACTGAGCCGCAGTGACCATTTGTCACTCGGAGCACAGACACTGAAGTTACAGTGAGAAAGCAAGGAAGGCCAGCCAGTGACCCCACTCGATCCCTTAGTCAGCCCTGCCCCTGCTGTAGACACCACGTCCACGTGTGCCATGGTGGCCCCGAGCGCCCTGACTCACTTTTCTTTGCCTGGTTCTCCGCAGTACCATGAGCTCGCGGCACTCGGCCAGCCCCGTCGTCTTCTCCAGTGCCAGAAGTTCACCAAAGGAAGAGCTGCACCCTGCCACCTCGTCACAGCTAGCGCCTTCCTTCTCCTCGTCCTCCTCCTCTTCCTCGGGCCCTAGGACTTTTTACCCTCGCCAGGGCGCCACCAGCAAGTACCTGATTGGATGGAAGAAACCTGAGGGGACCATTAACTCCGTGGGTTTTATGGACACCAGAAAGTAAGAATTGTTTACTTCTCTTGCGGAGTGGAGGACAGAAGGGCTGAAGTGATTTCTGCAGCTAGGAGGTGGGGAGGGCTTTGTTTGGTAGGAGGATTAAAGTGAGATTTCAGATATGAGCCTGAGCCGAGCATGGTGATGCACGCCTGGTAATCCCAGCACTCCAGAGGCTGCGCAGGAGGATGGCTGAGAGTTGGAGGCCAGCCTGGGATGCACGGCAAGACCATCTCAGAAATGAAAAATTATTTCTCACTCTCATCCCTAAAATATCCTGCAGAGCATTTGAATTGAGGATCTTAGCTCTTGTAGGGAAGAGTATGCCTGAGGGTCACGCTTCAGAATGTCCCCTGCCCTGTGCCACCACCACAGCCATCCCTTTGATTCTAGCAGTCACAGCCTTCCTGTAGAAATCTTCGTAACGGGGGTGGGGCGGGGGGTAGAGCCAGACGGACAAATAGGAAGTGAGGACCCCCGAGAATAAGACTTGGACATGTCATGCTGCCGAAGTGAAGTGGTGCGCTGTGTTCCGTCGTGGCTGTTGTTTGTTAGAGGTTGCATTTGGGATTCGTAGCCGGGGCTCTGTGAGCCCGTCAGTCATTTTGGCACAGAGCTGTTTCCTGTAAGAACTCTACTCATCACACTTCATTTCCTGTTTCAGATTGGCTTTGTCTTTAATAGGATGTATCTGAGCAGGCTCTGATGGAGACAGGACGCTTCCCCTTTTCTCTCCTTCCACATTTCCCCGGTGACTGCCGTCCTTCAGAGCCTGTGGTGCCAAGTGAGCCTTGTCACTCAGTTTCCACCACCTCTCCCTTGCCTCCCAGGCGCCACCAGAGCGATGGCAGTGAGATGTCCCACACCAGGCTACGTGCTTCAACCAGGGACCTGCGGGCATCCCCAAAGCCAGCCTCCAAGTCCACCATTGAGGAGGATCTGAAGAAGCTTATTGACCTGGAAAGCCCGACTGCTGAATCACAGAAGAATTTTAAGGTATAAGACAGAACTTGGGATAAAGGCAGCTAGAAGCCAGCGGCGATGGAGCTAGGTCCTGGCACCCCTTTGGGGGAGCATTAATTGGCTGCAGTTTGCCCTTCCTGGATCCCACTTCTTGCGTCACCCAGTCTTCCCGGGGTTCGTTCAGTGTTCGCAGGCTCTGTCCGCCCCATCGTAGCATTGTTGCCGTTCCCCTGTCCCTGCCCCGCAGCGCTGCCGCTTCTTGTGTGTCCTAAGGAGTCGTGGCTCCTGCCGGAGGTAATCACTCAGCCTCCTCTTCGGTCCCGCAAGGCTGCACACCTGACTGTGGGACTTGCCCGGCCCGAGTGCTCTGGGAGCCTTTCCATGCCACTCTGACGGCCCCTCGCGCCCCACTGCCCCTTCCAGTCCTGAATTGCGGTTCTGCACCTGCGCTTGTGTCTGTGGCTAGACCTGTAGAACCGTTTAACAGGTTTATTCTGCCCAGCTCAGCTTGGGGGATCTTTGAAGTTCCTGTTGCTTCTCTGCCCCTCGTCCTCTGAAGTGTTTGGGGTCGGAGCTGGGGTGAGGAATTCCTCTTGACCCTGAGACACATTGGGTAGCCCCAGGAGAAAGAAGTCTACCCAGGAAGGTCGTGGCAGTCTGTTTAAAGTGACTAGAAAACTGTAATTTCAGAAAACCTTGGGGAGTGGGTTGCAGAGGGAAGCAAGGGTCATTGCCTTGCGTCGCCAGCCTCCCAGGCAGATCAGAGCACGGCGCCCGGTGGAGCTGCGTGTTCCTCTGCCGCTGTCCCATCCCCTCCCAGAAGTCGGGCGCGCCTCCTGCGCCCGCTCGCGATGCTTCCCAGGGCCACCGTGGAGCTGTGCTGCCCAGTAAATGCTTGCTTAGCGAGACGTGTTACATCAGTGGGACCGTCGCACGGCATGCCATTCTTCTGTCGTTTCTGTTCCAGAAGCCGGCGCTTGGCAGTCCTGACTCAGGGTATAATTGGTTTCCTTAGCAACCGTGCACACAGCAGTGCTTGAAACTTCCTAATCCATCCAAACCCAAGAGGTGCATTATGCTTTTTAAGTGCCAGTTTCAAAATTGAAATCATTCCACATTTTCTCTCTCGGGTGAGGGCCTCTCTGAGGGGCTCTGCCCTCTGATGCCTGCTTAATGTTTTTGGTGAGGAGCGAGCTCAGAGCTCTCTTGATTTGACCGCGCAGTGCACATAATTGATGGCAGGTGTCTGTTCTGCTCATATTCCAGGTCTTGGCTTTTACTTCCACAATGGGTTTCTTTAACCTTCCTGTTAGGAACTGGGGCACGCTTCTACCGGGGCAAAGGCAGCGCTTCTGGGGACGCTGCCTCACTGCAGTGGAGGGCTAGAAGCAGGAGTCCTGAAAATGCTCAACTTCCTCACTCCTGTCTGCTCTCCCTGAGCTGGTTTGGCTTCAGATGAGCTCAGCTGAGCAGTCCCACGTGTCCCTGAGAGTCCAGCAGAGGACGAGCTTCCAGGCCTCCCAGCCCCAAGCCGCTGCAGCAGGTGTCAGGCTCCAGGAGAGGCCAGCTCTGGCTGTGGGTCTTGGAGTCCACGCGCTGTCTTGTCCACGCTGTGCACCAGCAGAGCCGGATGCCCAGCACAGGACACGCAGCTGCCCCCCCGCTCTGGCCTGAGGAGCAGGGCAGAGCTGCAGCACTACACAGACCTCACCCCTCACAGGACTGCCTCCCTTTCCTCAGGGCATTCACGGTCTGAGAAGCAAACAGGGAGGAGCGCGGGCTTCCAGGCCTGCTCTGCAGCTGGTGCTCAGGTAGAGGTTAGAGGATGTGCAGGAAGAACTGCTCGTGAGGACAGTGCCAGCCGGGGGCAGGAATGAAAACTGGAGACTGCACGCAAGATACCACCTTTCTGGACCCTCCCTGCCCTTGTGCTATGAAACAGATGTGAGGGTCAGTGGTCCCTAAGTAGCTTCAAAGCCCAGAGGCCCTTTTAAAAAGTAAAAGTACACATGGGAGGCCAGTTTGTATGTAGAGCTGACTTTCTCTGATGGGAAAGGGAGCCTGGTGCAGGTTCCGAGGCCCCCCTGAGCCCCTTGGTCTTCAGCAGCAGGCTCTCAGAAACCCTTAGGCTCCTTGGACTGCAGTTGGAAAAGCTGCCCCACCTGTCCAGGTGCTCTCTGAAACCCTTCCAGGCTTGGTTTTGTGTGGTGTTGGAAATGGAACTCTTACACTTGCCCGGGCGCACAGTGCCACTGAGCCGTACCCCCAGGCCCCTTCCAGGTTTCACACCTGCCTCCCCTGCATTCTTTCCCAAGTGGCGGACGCATACCGGTAGGGCAGTGGCCTGGGCATCCCTGGTACCGCCTGCAGTGCCGGCAGGGGCACTTTCAGGAACTGGGGAGATTTGTACACCTTTAAGACTGGAGTTAAGGAGGGGTAGGAGAGGAGCTGCCATGCTGGGTGTGGGCAGCCTGGACCCTGCTGCGTTTTGGTGGAAAGCACATCTGGGCAGGCTGCTGCCCTCCGCATCCTGCTCTGCAGGGTGCTGACCTGACAACTCACTTGCCTAAAAGGTCCTGAAATACAGTCACATTCTCCAGGAGGCTGGGCTAGCCTTTTGAGACTTTCCTGCAAAACCCTCAAGGTAGAGACTGGAAAGAGAAATCCCTGTCCTAAAATGAGAAGTGCTAAAATAGATTTAACAACAGTTTTGAGTAGAGACCTGAAATATATCTAGGTAGGCAGGGACCTTTTGTGATAATCTGAGAAAAAAAATAACAAAAACAAAACTATAATTAGCAAACAACCTCTCTTAAGAATGATTTAACACTCTTACCCCACAAAGTGAGGAAAAAATGTCACCTGCGCACCCGGCTCTTCACAAAGCGCTCAGCGTGGCCGCTCAGCCTCCGAGGCAGGAGTTCCTTGGGTTCCACCCCTCACACGCTGTTCATCCGGGTAGCTGTACTCCGGGCTCGCTTAGGGCGTGTTTGGTTAGCGCTGCACAGCAGCTGAGTGTGCTGCCCTGGAGCTGGTGAGCGGCTCAGCCCGTGGCCTGCTGCTGCTGGGGTGGGCCCCGCCCGGAGTGCAGCACTGGGCCTGGCTGTCACCGCTGCACGTCTGGGCCTGGACCTTCGGCCACCGCCTGGAGCTGTCACTACTTCGTCCTCACAGGGCGGTGTCCCATGCGGCCCTTGCCAGCTGGCTCAGCCTCCTCACCACTTCACTCACAGTGTTTCTCCGCCAGGGCACAGTGTCCTGGGAGGACTGAGCAGTGGTAACTCGGTTATCAAGAGGCCAGGCCCTCTGTTGGCTCTCAGGTTGTTTGTAGTTAAATATCCTTCGTGTGTCTGCTGTTTCTCATTGAAAAGTGGCCCCGGGAACTTCACCATTTTAGACAAATCTCAAAATCACATTTGGTCACCAAAGCAAAGATACAGATGTTATAAAAATAACATCTGTCTGGAACCATTTGTCATTTATAGAATCGACTTTCCTATTTCATTAATAGAAATGTGTATCCAAAAACGCTTCCAAACCGTGCAGTCCATCTGCGTTGAGACTCCGCGGTGTATCCTTGATTAAGCGCTGGCGTAGCGCTCCCTCTTAGTTAACGTGCTTTGATGCCCTTGTCACCCACCCTGACTGGCGGGCTTCTGCGCTGCTCTCCTGTGCTGCGGCCGTTTCCCTGGAGACCATAGCATCTCCCTGCTGCACCATGGTGATCAACCTTAGTACTTCTCTAGTGCACACAGTGATCCTGACCAGTATTCTCCCTGTACAAACAGGATTTGGACTCTGGAAGATCCTATGATTTGGTCAGAGACACAGGATTCAAATAAAACTACCAACCATGCTGACAACCCCTCTTAATTCCAGGTCTGAGTGCCACTCTGACACGGATGTGCTCTGGGCAGTGCTGTGGACTCTGAGGAGGTGATGCCTGGGACCTACTTGCGGACCCAGGCGTGACACAGAGACCTCCAGAGTGGCGGCGTTGCTCTGGGGCGTCTGAGCCGGAGTGCTGAGCTTGTCATCTTGCTGTTTTCCAGTTCCAGCCTCTGTCCTCGCCTCAGTCTCCGCTCCCCACCACCCCCACGTCGAGGCGGGCCTTGCACCGGACGCTGTCTGATGAGAGCATCTACAGCGGCCAGAGGGAGCACTTCTTTGCCTCGAGGGCTTCCCTGCTGGACCAGGCCCTGCCCAACGACGTCCTCTTCAGTAGCACGTACCCTTCCCTTCCCAAGTCGCTCCCTCTGCGGAGGCCTTCATACACCTTAGGAATGAAGTCCCTGCATGGTGAGTGAGCACCCCGGTCTGCTCGGGTCGGGGGTCCTCGGAGGAAGTCCTGCTTGCACACCTGCCCCCAGGCCACAGCTGGCACCTGGCATGCTTGCTTCGCACATGGGTTTCAGGACCTTACCCAAATCTGCTGAGTTTGCATCTCCAAAGGAGTAGTCTGGGAATTAGTGTTTTTATCAAACAGGCCAGCCGCTTTTAGGATCGGGCCAGTTGGCTGAGACTGCATGAGTTATTTCTCGATTTCTGACACCCCTGCTTGCCATGCCTCCTGCAGAACCCAGGCTGGCCAGCGCTCGCATCTGTCCAGGACGCTCAGGTATCACCGGCTGGCGTCAGTGAGCAAGTAATATGTAGGAAAACACCTCCTGCTCACACTTGCTGTTCCTGTTCTCTCTGGGGCGCATCCTGAGGCTGTGGGTTGAATCTGCCCTTTTGTTCTCCTCGCTGTCCACATCCAGTGTTCCACACCCTCCGTGAGAGCCGCGGCTCAGCCCAGCGGACACCTGACACGGGGCCCGTGTTTCTTGTGGCTGGTCACTCACCTTGCTGCAGTCCCACCTCCCTGCTGGCCTTTTTCCTCATGTGATTCTGCTGTAGACTTTGTATGTCCTGTGTGCATTCCAATGCACCGGTGCCTCCCCTCTCTCGACCCTGCGCTGTCCTGGAGCTCCCACCCGTGCTGGGAATGCCCCGGTCTCCGTCCTGCTCAGTGACGCAGCACCACTTGCCCTGCCCAGCACGGGAGACACCACGCAGGGCTTGGGCCACCGCCCCAACCCACACACAGCCTGAGTCCAGAGTCACCTGTAATGAACCCGAGTTAGTACGTGAGATGATCACTTTCTACCCCTGGACTCAAATAAAATAGTAACTATAAGATCCTTCTTCTGGCTTGAGCAGTAAGAAGCCATCGCTGATAAAAGAGAGTTAGTTATACAGTGAGTAGAAGTTACGTTGGTCAGAAGTAAATCATTAACCTGTAATTCTGATGACACAAGAATAAAGAAACCAAATGATTTGGTTTCAGAAACCATCTGTTTAAGCCAATTTTAGACAATGAAAATGCATTTCTGAATGTACAGATTGCAAACATAAGTCAAATGGCTAACACTAACTCTGTTTTCTCTAAGATGTAAACATTGCCTTAATACATCTTTATTCATAAGATACATTTTCCATCACAGGGCAAAACAGAATACTGAAATGATTACTCTTAAATATTTCAGTTGAACACGCAAAAGCAAAGTGTTTTGCCAGTACGGAGAAGATATCTACAGATATCTGTCCACGTCTGAGGCCCTGCGGTCCATGCCGTTCTCACAGTGGCGAACATCACACGTGCCGCGTTTACAGTAACTGCCCCCTTGACACAGAAGGAACACTCGCGCTGGATTTTAAATGCTACCTGTATACTGTCTCTTAAAGCTCAATAAACCAGCTGGGGATTTCTAAACATATGAAGCATTCATTGGAAGGCAGGATCTTGTTTACCAATATTTGGTGATAAAGGAAAGGATGTCGTCCACAGGCTTGCAGCTTCACACAGAAGCTTGGGTAAAGCCAGACAGCATAAGAACATGTACCACTAATAAAAGAAGCCACGTGTTTAACAATTTAAATACGTAGTACTGCGGCAGTGAGCTTTAGGTAGGAATATATTATTAGCAGGCTTTCTTCTCTACGACTGGACACAATTTGCTATTCCTGACATAGTAGCATTAGAATTCTTTTTCAAAATTCCTGCAGAGCTATACTTACTTTATTTCCATGTGGACTGCAGTCATTACTGTGTCAAATTAAATTGATAAAATTTAATTTTATCAATAAACATTCCCATCATTTTGGAAAGGATGTCAACTCGCATTTTCAGAGTTCATTAGTCAGTTGTAAAAAGGCTTTTCTTTTTAGGCACCTACCTAAAGGTTGATACTTTAATGTGTGGCCCAAAGAGAAAATGCCTTAGATAAACTACTTTGAATGTCAGGTTTCACATGAGGCAGCATCTTCTTGCCGTACCGACCCGGCTCTCTTCCTGATTGAGGAGTACGAAGTATCTCTGTGGACCCAGTAGGCAGCGAGAGCCGCTGCGAAGTAGATGGGCGCAAAGGCTGCCACAGAGGCACCGTTTCGTTTTAACTGAGAATTTAAAAGTTATTATAGTATTGAAAGTGTTCAAAGTGCTTGTTTCAAAGAACAAGAAAAACCAGAAAACTAAGGTCCAACAGAATTAATTTAGATTAAGAATGATTTAACTTCTTTTTTGATCTAAAGCATTATTAAAATTTTGTAGAGTGTTGATCGAACATACCTTACATTCTACTATTTTGTCATCTAAGACTCATTGTTTTAATGCAGGGGAAAAAGCCAGTTAGGAACTTCGCAGCCATGCAAGGTTTGCCCCGAAGCATCCGAGCACCCCACTGCTCCCCACACGGACATGAGCTGACACCGCTGCTCATTGGCAGCGCTTTGAAAAGCATATATTGTGCCACCAGTTGTCATATTATTTCTCAATGATGTAATGCAGCCATCAAACGAAGCATGGCCCCGCGTGGGATGCAGACTTCATGCGCTTATTGTTTACACATTAAACAAATATCAAAAAAAAAAGTGACTAGCTGCTCCTTCCATTTCTCTCCTTTTCCCCCATGTTGGGGGCCACTTCCTGTGAATTCCATTATTCTCGCAGTTGCCTGCCGTCCTGAGTGCTTCTCTGCAGCTCTGCTGGGGCTTTTGTCCTTCTTTCTACAACTCCTGCCATGAGAGTCCCGCCTGCACGTTGCATCACGGTGGAGCTGCCTGTCCACTCGCTCGAGGCTTATAATCTGAGAGCTCTGCCCAGAACCCGAGCCCCACGTGGTCACTGGATGACCTAGGAGACCAGGGGCGGGGCGCCCACGGAACGCTGGCGAGGGGAGGGAACAGAAAGCCTGCTCAGGCCCTTGCCGGCACCTCTAGTGGCTTCTCCAGGAGCCGAGCAGCGCGGTGGAGATTTCATGCTCTAACTAGCCGTGCTTGTTGGCTACCCCTGAACCTGTCTAGAGAAACGGAGAGGGGTCTTGTTCTTCCTGCTATTTGGAAATTGGACCTCAGAGATAAAGGGGCTTAGGACTGTGATGCACAAAGTACCTGTTAGCCTACTTAGGCCCTAGCCTGGGTGGAAACACACTGAAGCAGTACTGTTATACCTTTCTGTTTGTATTTCTTCTTTTGAGTTCTTACACCAGGGAGACTATACGATATTTACACATGTGAGTCTGGTTTATTTCATTTATGAGTATATCTGCAAGTGGCATCAACTTGAATATAAATGCTTCAAGTTTGTCATTCTTTATAGCTGAGTAATACTCCATTGTATAAAAACACCACATCTTTTCATCCATTCCTCAGGTGATGGGCATCTTGGTTGTTTCCAAGGTTTGGCTATCACAAATGGTGCTGCTATAAACATAGGTGCACATATGTCACTATGATATGACGTTTTCAGTTCCTCTGGGAAAATTCCCATTAAAGAAATAGCTGGTTTAAAGGGGATTTCCAGTCCTAGTTTTCTAAGGAGTCTCCACACTGATTGCCATAATGGTTGCACCTGTCTACATTCCCACCAGCAGTGGAGAGGGGTTCCCCTTTCCCCACAGCCTCTCCAACATTTGTTGTTGGGTGATTTCTTTCTGATAGCCATTCTTGCTGGCGTGAGATGGTATCTCAGTGTTGTTTTAATTTGCATTTCGCAGATGGCTAGTGATGTGGAGCATTTTTTCATATATTTATTCGCTTCTTTAATTTCGTCCTCTGAGAAGCGTGTGTTCATCTCGGATGCCATTTCTGGAAGTAGAACTGGACGCTTGCTGCCACGCGGTGTTTGCCAATGTCCATGCACTTGTCACTTTGCTAGTTCTCAGCACATTAATAACCAGCGACTGCATTTCAGAGCTTTTCCTTATGTGATTTGAAAGGGAAGACAAGCCCCGCGATTACTCGGGTATAGTAGAGGCTACTCTTTAGCCCCTCATAAACAGGCGTCCCTAGAGTGCCACAGCCTTGGAGTAAGTTGTTTTCATCCTGCCTTGCTCGGACTTCAGGGTTAGCGTCGCGTTCTGAGGAGCGCTCTGCTTCTGCTGCCTGCAGGAGCAGCCCCTTGTCTCCCCGCCTCCCGTCCTCTGTCCCCTTGGTGACCTTGAGCGGTGGCAGCGGGCCAGCGGCCTAGCACAGCCCACACGCGCACCCCTCCGCCCCAGGCTAAGTGAAGTTATTTGTTAAAGTGTCAGTTGTTAAAGCTTTTGCAGCCAACAGATTGTCACCTTAGAAAGAGTTGAGTATGCTGGACGCACGGGTTAAGCCGAACCCGTGCACATTGCTGCTGAAACGTTGGCCCCTGGGGAGAGCTGGGCCGCTGCCAGCTCGAGAGACCTGCTTGGGCTGGCTGCGCAGGCGCAAGTGCCGCGCCTGCACTGTCTAGACGCCCCGCTGTGGAGCCAGCGGGCCCTCCTGGCTTGTGGGGCAGCCGTGGGCCAGCGTGTATCTGGTCTGTCCCTCACCGGTCCAGGGATGGAATCCACTGGTCCCAGCCCCGAGTCCAGTTGAAGATAAGCCTCTTGGTCCCTTCCTACGGGAATAAACATCCCTGGGCTAGCTCCCAAGCCAGCTTTCTGTGGAGTAGGCCTCTTCTTCCCAGCCTGCGTCACTTGGCTCCCTGCGGGAAAGATGAATGCCAAAGCCACCCTGGTCCCCCCTGCACACACACAGCTCCCTTAGAAGCAAGCGTATGGCCTTGGTGGGAAGCGGAACTGTCCCGTGACTCATTCAGGGGTAAAGGTGATGGGAGTTTATTATAAAAATGAAGACTTAAAGAGAAGATAAATTTTAACATCTTCCTAAGACTACACAGGGACAGGAAAAACCAGTCCCACAGGGTAAATTTGAATGGACATTTAGGAAGGAATAATACTTATTTTGGAACTACAAACTCAGTGTTTCACATTTGTTTAATAAAGTTTAAATCTAATTTTTAAAAAATGAAGAAAGGCTGAAAGAGCCACTATGTGGACTGCTGAACCAGACACTGGTTCCGGTACCAAGTGGCTCACAGGTCTGCTGCGACAGGCAGTGGTAAGTGCTCGAGTGGTTCTCCTGTGGGCAGGAGCACTACCCTGTCCTTGTCTCCTCCTCCAGGAGAGTTCTCAGCCTCCGACAGCTCCCTCACCGATATCCAGGACACGCGTAGGCAGCCCGTGCCCGACCCTGGCCTGATGCCACTGCCTGACGCTGCTGCAGATTTGGATTGGTCCAACTTGGTTGATGCCGCCAAGGCCTATGAGGGTGAGTCTGCCGAGAGCACCAGGCACAGTGCAGGGTCCTGCAGAGCAGCACTGCCGCGTGCTAGGGTCGGACCCAGAGCTGTCCACTCTGCTGTCCTGACATGTTGGTGGCATTCTGAGCAGGGACCTCACTGGTGGAACTTGGTGTTCCTCCAGTGCATCACTGGCCCCTGTACTGGGAAGGCAGAGAGCAGAGAAGTCCCAGCTCTCTACTCACTGAAAAACATGCACAGTCAGAGCCTCTCTTCACATTGTGAGGCATCTTACAGCTGGGCTGATTGCTGCATTGCTGAGGCTGAGGCAGGAGGATCACAAGTTAGAATCCCACTTGGGCAACTCAGTAAGGCTGTCTTAAAACAAGAACACCCCTGGGTTTGAGTCCCAGAACACCCACCCCCCAGGCACAGGACCACTGTAACACAGGCAGATCTGTCAGAACGCCAGCCCACCTTGCTGGGTGTGGACTGTGCCTTCCTCCCGTGCCCCTCCCTGGGTGGCAGCGCATCTGCCCTCGGCCAGCTGCAGGCCGCGTGCTCTGTGCTGTGGGAGCCCAGCACCTCTGCCCTGGACGGCGTGAGAGCAGTGTGGTGTCAGGTGTCTACCGTCTATTCTGCAGTAAAGACGTAAGATGATTATTCTGAAACTTGGTGGTAAGGTCTTCCTTGTTTTATGAGAGCAAGTGAGTATATTGTTACTTGTAGTTGGGCAACATGAAAGTTGCTATTCCAGTCAAGTTTTGATTTAGGTAGGAAGTTTACTAGGCCACAGAATACAGAACTCGGCCAGCTGACTACCCACGCCTCCACCTTTATGGAGCTAATGGGAACTCTTTAGCACTAGCTTGGTTTTTCAGTTCGTTGGCTAATCGCCTTCATGTGAATTTTACATTGGACCATTTTGAGTCAGAGATAGACTTAAGCTAAAGCTCAGCAGTGGCCAGACGTCTCATATAAACTTACTTGAAATAGTTTTGAGGAGTTGAGTTCTAAATCTGAACACACTTACATTGGTACATAGAAAGCCTTGGTCTGGAAATCTGGCACAAGGCCTCTTTCTGGAGAAGCATTCCATAGAGTGCTCCTTTGAAGAGCAAGGATCGCTGGGAGGGACTGGCTCGGCATTGATTCACAAGCTGTTTCTGAAAGGGAAGTTGTAGCGCTACTGTCCACTCTCAGCTAGACCGTGACAGCTTGCCTCGAGGCCTGAGCCGTGCGTTCCCACGCAAGCCTGTTTGTGCAGACTGGCCTGGCCCGTGGGCCAGTTGTGGACTTCGGGTGGGTGAGCCCAGCTGTGTATCTGAAATGCTCAGTGGTTTTTTCTCTCTTCATTGCAGTGCAGCGAGCCTCGTTTTTTGCGGCTAGTGACGACAACCACCGCCCCTTGAGCGCGGCCTCCAACAGTGATCAGCTCGAGGAGCTGGTGCAGATGAAGTCGTACAGCAGGTTGGTCATGCAGGGCTGCCACATTGTGCCCCAAGAGAGACAGGCGTGGCCAAGAGGGGTGGCTGGATGACACCCATCTCAGAAGTGCCATTTGCTTATTAGTAACACACTCCACGACTAGGTGCTGTAAGTACAGTTGAAGTGTTCTTGGTGGCTTGGGGTCGTAGCTATGAATATTACTGTTAAAGTCGTGGTACGTTACGCCCTTAGGGCTCATAAGATAAGACGAGTCGTCCCCAGCGCCGTGCGGCTGTGCTTCTTAGTCCCATGCAGCTGCCCTGGCGGCCCTGTTCTCAGCACACAAGAGTCCTTCTAAGCCTTGCAGCCCGGTGCACTGCCCCAGTCTCCCGAGCACCCATGTCCCAGATTGGATCACTGGGGTATTTCAGAGCATGTGATGAAGAGGAAGCTGAGGGCCGTGGCATCTCTCAGAATGGAGGGCACACTCACGGCCTGCCTCCGTTGGCTGTGCAGAGACTGGGACCTCTCTTTGCCGCAGTACTGAACGAGGAGGTGGCTGGGCCCAGGGGTGTGACGCTGCTTTGGGAGCAGCGTCACAGTGGCCGGTTGTGGAGCATGCAGTGAGCGTCTCTTGCTGCAGAGTATTGACTGATCCCTTCCCTGAAGGGATCCAGGTGTCAGGGAAACTGGGTCAGAAGCAGACAGCGAGGCTGGTGTGCTCGCTGTGGGACTGGAGACCGGCGGCCTCCGGCGCAGCCCGCCCCAGATGCGCTGGCAGGGAGAGTCCAGGTGCCGAGGCTGGCGCGCATTCACACTTAGCACCGGGACAGCTGGCAGGGGCAGAGTGGCAGTGAGGTTGGCTACTGGGAGCTTAAAAGAGAAAAAAGAAAGGGGGCCGGGGAGATGGCTGAGTAGAATAAGTGCTTGCCTGGCAAGCACAAGGGCCTGAGTTCAATCCCTAGTTCTGCCAAAAAAAAAAACCCCACAAAACAAACGTTGTAGAGTCAAAAGAAAGCCCAAAGTGCACTTCTTCCTAACAGGAGTCCAGAAAGGAGCACTACAGACTCAAGGGAGGCACACAGTTGATCATCTCCTGCTGAATGGGGCTGAGTGAATGCAGATGAGGCGCAGGGCGAGGCCACCAGCCCCCCTGAAGGGCGCATTGCTGAGAGCAGTGCCGCAGGGGCTCCATGTGGAAAGGCTTTTTTTTTTTCCTTGAGTACTTGCCTATTTTGAGTGGGGGTTAACAGCAACGTGTCTTTATGAAATCAGTTATTTTATATTGCCTGTAGTTTTCACCCCCACTGCGCGTGTTCCTCAGCATTGTCATGCACCCTCAGAGGAAGAAGTGATTAGGAGCCTTTAGAGTGGTGTCCGCCCGAGGGCCTGCGGTGCTCCTGCAGGGCACGCTGCCCTGCCGCTGGCCTCCCTCCTGGCTCTGCCACCTCTCTGGCCGTGGCCCAGTCCAGAACTCACAGCCCACAGGCGCCCTTCCTTCAGCAGCAGTCTTGGCACACCCCTGCCAGTCTGGGTTTTCACTGGGGCTTCCTGTAAACGTAGAAGCACAAGACATCAACGCAGGTCGCTAGAGCCAAGAACCCTAACTTGCACTGTGGGTCTGGAGCAACACCTCTATCCTGTGACAGAGAAGATTCGGGGTCGTCACCGCTTCCCTGCAGCCTCTGGGAAGAGGCAGCTGCCTGCTTTCCTTGTGGACGGTGTCGGGATCTCTGATGTGCACCAGGGTTGTAGGATCGGCTGAAACCCACTGGGAAACTGGGCAGCTCCCATTCAGGTGGAAAGGACACAGAGCAGTCGCCAAGGGTCCTTGTTCCTCTGTGTTCTGTCTGACCAGTTGGTGGCCTTCTGTCTTGTGGCAGTCCCTTGATGTGGCAGTATTAGCACTTAAATAAAATGTGACGTAAATAAAGCAAGAAGAGAATGTTTGCTGATTGTGAAGACAGACTTTAGACATTAAGCTGTGGCCGACAAGCTTTTGAAACATGGCGTCTCACTTTTAAAACATTTAGCGGTTGAGCTGTGGGCAGGATAAGCCAGCTGCCGCTGCACAGATGACTCCAGCCCATTTTCATGGGAACTAGGCTGCCCTGAGCCCTGAGGCAGAGGCTGCACCACCTCAAGCCCACTTCGGAGCTCCCGAGGAAACGCTGTGCCGTGGGATTGTCGTGTCTGTCGTGTTGCTGGAAAGCACCCCTTGTGCTGCCAGGGACCTTCCTCACCATCATTGCTTTGTCAGAAGATGCGGCATTTTAACACGGGAAGCTGTTGCCTGGCTGTTGTTCAAGCTGGTTAATCTTTCGTTAAATCACCATTTTCTTTCCAGAGGTTGAAATGCGCATTGTGTTGCCATGCTAACATGATGTGGAGAACCCTTTCCAAGTACAGCCTCCTCAGATTTGCAAAATGAGAAAGACGATGACCAAAAGGAAAGGCAACTGCAGCCAGGGAGGTTCTTACCAGTGTGGCCTTTTGTTTCTTGTTCCCAGCAGTAAAGACTCCTCACCCACTCTGGCTTCTAAAGTGGACCAGTTGGAAGGGATGCTCAAGATGCTCCGAGAAGATCTCAAGAAGGTAAGCGTGTTCTGAGCGCGCGCCACCCTGCTGGAGCAGTGCTGGTGGGGTCAGTGTGGGTGTTTCTCCCTGAGCAGCTTTTCTGAATACACGTTCAGGGGCATGTGTGGCTGAGGCCCTCAGTCGTGGTGCCAGAGGCCTCATGACGTGTGCAGAAAGCCTGTTCTTACTTTGTGAGAGGCTCTGGACCCGTTTAGCCTCTCGGGCCCTATATAGCATATCAGCCGCCCAGACCCTTAGGAGTCTTTGATACTTTGCTTTTGTACCATGATTACTAAGTATTTTACTTCTTGGGTATTTGATTTTATCAGGACAGTTACCACCAAAAACAGGATTAACAGTCATTAAGCTACACAACTGTGTGTTTGCATTCCGGCTACTCCTGAGCCTAGCGTGGGTCTGCTCCAGAGCCAGAGGCATACAGGGCTAGGGAGGCGATGAGCACGACCAGTCAGTGTTCCCTAGCTTGTCCCGGAGCTGCGCCGGCCAGCGGGGCCTCCCTCTAGCTCAACCCCACTTCCTCCCTCCTAGGAAAAGGAAGACAAAGCCCACCTGCAGGCGGAGGTCCAGCACCTGCGGGAGGACAACCTGCGGCTGCAGGAGGAGTCCCAGAATGCCTCGGACAAGCTGAAGAAGTTCACGGAGTGGGTCTTCAACACCATAGACATGAGCTAGGGCCGCCTTCCACAGTTTCCACCTGCCCCCTTCCAGAGGATACTACGCTGCGACTGCAGATCAGCACTCATTGTCTGCCTTTTGTAGAAAAGAAAAATAAAAAGTAAATAAAAATTTTAAAAGGTAAAATAAAAGTTTAACTGCAAAAATGTGAATGTCTTTATTTTTTTGCACAATAGCTTTATATGTTATGTATTTAAAAATGGAGCAGAGTTAAGTCCCAGGCACCCTGCCCCGCTGCCTGTCCCTGTCAGCGTTCTATTTCAGGTAACCCAGGCTTTCCCCTGTACCCCCTTACAAACAGCGCTGTGCTATTTGTAAGGAAAATCGTTTTTTAAGCTTGTTTATTTGGTGAGTGGGAAAGGCATTTCTTTGTAAAATGCCTGGAGAGGAGGAGCTTCGAGAAAAGTCCACCTCCCGGAAGGGCCTGGGTGTGAGCTGGGGCGCCTGTGCTGGTCCTCCGGAGTGTGCGCTCTGCCCCACTGCGCTCCTCACCCCTCGCCAGCCAGCAGCCCACGCAGAGGCGCCGGCAGGCCTGCACCTCGGCCGCCCTCGCCTCCCTGGAGATGGGTCTGTGCACTGCCCAGAGGCGGGGCTGTTTCCCTGGCTGCAGCGAGCCCAGCTCCCAGCCCAGCGCTAGCTGGGCCCCAGGGCCTCGTTGGTGTGGCCTCATTTGTGTGCATTTTCTGTGTGTTGCAGTCAAAAGTATATATATAGTTTCTGAAATTGTTACAGACATAGCAAAACTTTTCTTAAGTTTATTCAAAGAGCTCTATTAACAAATTCTCTCCAAAGCAAGACGTCACCAGTGTTTGTAATTAGGAAAAGCTGACGGCAGACCTCGAGCCACGAGTCCTAATTCTTGTCTGTTAGGAGCAACAACTGTAATAAAGTGGGCTTTGGAAATCTGCATGCCCCAGTGTGAAATTGAAGCTCGGCATTTTCTGCATCCTTTTGTAGCCATTCAAAGAATTCTGCCGCAAAGTTACCAACGTGCTGTTTTTCGCGTCTGGTCATGCAGGTTGGTTGGGGCCCTGGGCGTCTGCACTGCAGCGCCAGCCAGGTGTGACTGACCTGAAGAGGCCCTTGCTTCTGGCCCGCAGTCGCCCTTAGACGGACCCTCCACCCCTTCCATGGTAGCTCTAGCAGCACGTGCTGGGAGGGTCCCTCCTCGCCTCATCGCAGGTCCAGCCTGTCTCCACCGAAGAGACAAGGTGCATCCTCCCTGCCCCCACCCTCACCCACTACCAGACTTTTATGCTACGATTTCATTCCAGATTATAACTTTTCCATGGAAGTTTTTTCCTAGTAACATTTCTATCATGGGAGATTTCAGAGTGCTTTGTAAAGATCTCAGCTGTCGTCTCTCTCACACTGTGTATGGAGGAGATTGTACATTGCCTGATCTGTCTCTGTAATGAGGAACGCTGCTGCCGCCCCGGCATCTGAGGTCTTGCTCAGCCTTCTGCATTTCGTTTTCCATTTTCTCGGGGGACTTGGGGCGAGCTATTTATTAGAGTTTTGTGACAGAGTTCTTGTTTGAAGCCTCTAAAGACTACTTGTAAAATTCGAACAATAAAATTCATTTTAAATGCTCTTTTAAACGCTGTGGTGTTATTGCTTGCAGTTTATGTGAAAGACCACCCAGAAACTCATGGCCCCCCTCGCACCCTCATTTCTTCGTGCTGTAACCACTAAAGCTGGTTCTTGAACATTTCTGTCATTTTCAGAGTTTTCTAAGCTTTTTTCACTCTTCGCACACCCCCAGAGAATTCCTGTTTTGCTTTCTCTGCATACGACTTGGCGTTTCCAGGGAACTTCGTTGTTTGTCGTCTCCTCTCCATCCCTGCGTGAATTTCCCCAATGTTGCTGTGCTCAGACCTGCGCACACTTGGCCTGCAACCACGCCCTCAGCTCTGTCAGATGCTGGGTGCTGGGGGAACACGAATGCCTGTCAGTAGTAAACTGTGCAAAACATAATTAGAAAAGTTAATCTACTGAAAAAAGCCATTGCATCCTGAAGTCAAACAGAGCCCTCTTTGAGTACACCACATTGCTGTTCCTCTCCGATGGTGCAACTAATTGAAAGCTGATAGTTTTTTCCATTTTTTCGGCTCAGCAATGCGACATTCTAGGATTACAAATCTAGGATGAAAGTGGATGCCACAAGGAATTAGGATTGATAAACTAAAGGGGTCTGCTTAGCCCTTGGTTGTTAACAGGGCCTGAAGGGCTCCGCAGGGCTTGCATGTGGGGTGGGAGTGCCCAGGCGCTGTTGGAACGTGTGGGTGGGACATGTGCACCCAGGAGGACAGGGTGGCCAGCAGGCTGCCCTGCAGCAGGCGCCAAGCTGAGCAGGGTTCCTGACTCCTTCACGGCACGCACTCTGGTGGAAAGAGCCCTAGCCCAGTTCCAGCCCGGTGTAACATGGGTAACTTGTCAGGTGCTGCTTCCCCAGGGTAGCAGGACACACACAGGTGCGTGTGGCACACCTTAGAAACGGGTCGGAGACTTGGCTCTGTTAAGTGGTGTGACTGGGAAGTGATGCCATAGGGAGGCAGCACAGCCTTCGCTGTGACAGGACTTCGCCACTAAAGACCTCTCCATAGGAATCACAATGTGATGAAGAAGACACTGGCCTTAGCCTAGAGCTAAGCTATCTCTTAACGAAGCATCAGTACCAACACCATTGTCCTAAGGACCGAATGGGCCAGTGACACCAAGCCACAGACAGGGCAGGAGGTGGGCTCCTGGCTGGGCCTGCTGAGTTCAGGTCGCTGACTTCTGAACTCAGCCCAGCTGCCTCACCCACGTAAGTCTCCAACAACCTCACCAAACCTCGTGGCGCCAGAAGACGTATTTCACAGCTGGCCTCCAAGCTGGCCCACGTTCTAGGTGGTGTCTGCCTCGGGGGTCGCATGGCATGGCCCCATTCTCTCTGCTGCTGAGCAGAGAGAAGTGAAAGAGGACAGTGTGGCTCGTCCTGTCCTTTGCACAAACGGGACTTCTCTGAAGCTGACTGCAGCTGTGGTTTGCGGGGCTTTCCCTCCCGCCTTGGCTCCCTGTTGCTCCTCCCTGCCTGTGTCCCTTCTAGGCCTTGGCCTTTGCGTTGTGCATCTGGGTCATCATCCCTGAGCTCCGGAGCCTGCACGTCTCCCCACCTTGAACCCATGCAGCTCACGGGATCCAGTACGCGCTCTCGAGATGCCTCTAGCCTTAGTGACTGCCCCGGCTCTGGGCTGCTCACACTGTGCCTTTAGAGAAACACACTCCTTTGGGGATTGTGTGGCTTTGCTACTGCATCTAGGATTCCTTTTCTTTACCCAAAGTGCTGTGTTACTTTAAATGGCTGATCTCCCCACACCGCCTTTAGCATATTCCTGAGTCTCTAGTGAGCCCACCCCCTCATCTCCTGGGCATTTCATAATCCAGCATTTCAGAAAAAGCACTGCAGAGTGACTGTCTCCCAAGGAAATCCAGCCCCTTGGCATAAACAGCTTGGGAGAGATGGGCTGCCTAGCTCTCACCCGCAGCTCCACCTCCCTCAACCCCAGGCTCCCCGCTCCCGGAGCCCTTGCGGGTGAGCTGCCTGGTCGGGGACCTTTGCAGCTGTGTCCTCCAGATTCCGTCCCCAAACCCAAGCAGGTCATTGCTTTCTTTCCCAAGCCACCTGCACGAACCCACCCACCTTCCCTGCCCAAGTGCTGGGAGGGAAAGCTCGTAGAAAAGGCTCTTCAAACAGCAAACTAAGTTACTAATAGCTGCCTGGAGGTGGTCCTTGAGTCACTTTCTTAGGAAAGAGGCAGGATGGATTTGTAACTGACCTGGTAATTTTTCTAAAACATTTGAGGGTGTTTGAAAATAGTTACTTCTCACAATAACCTTAAACACTGCTCTGCAATCTGCGATGACTGTGCCTAACCAACTCTTCTTTTGGTTGGAATAAGACAGCCTCATGGAGACGCATTTCAGATGGATGAGAGTGTGTCTCTCGAAACATTCACTGCAAGGATCGTTTAGCTTCATGTAAAAGACAGCACTGTGTTGGGTTTTGTTGTGAGGAACAGCGAGTAGTGATTTGAACAGGGGTGGGGTGGTGAGAGTGGAGCCTCTCCACACTGTCCTTCAAGCGTGGCCAGGCCATACATGCAAGAGATCCCAGGCTCAAACCTTTCTGGCCCTGGCAGCAAAGTCGGTGTCTGGATACAAACCACAGGCAGCAGGTTTTGTTTGCAAGATGAGTGGGAAGTGGGTAGCTCTGGTGCATGAGGCCAGGAACCGGCCTAGGAGCCCGCTGCAAGGCCCTCGGCCCTGCCCTTTGTGCAGCGGACCCTTGCTCTCTTGAGAGAAGTTTATCACGAATCACAGAACTGCGGTGGAAAGAGCTCATTCAGTGACACAGCTCTGCCTCCAGCTAAGACCCGACGTCATCCTCATTGCCCTGCCCTGCGTCCAGCCACTTCAGCTGCTCCACTCCAAGAGCTTCCTGTTACTGAGGGAAAATTTACCTGCCGTTAGTCTTCACGTTAGCGCGTATTGGCCACAGACAGCGTGGAGACCTTAGTTCCTTTTCATCTCCTGCCCTCACGCTCCTCCCTGCCCCAGGCCTTGGCTGCTTGCATTTGTGGAAGGTCTGTCTTTGCTAATCTGTCAGTGACACAGGAGTAACATAGTCGTCACACGGAGTTGGCGTGTGTGCGCTCCACTGTCACCTTTACTTTTTGCAGCCGTTTCCATCCTAGTGCTTCAGATTATACAAAGCTAAATTTGTTTGCCCAGATAACAGCCACTAATCTATTGAAAAACTCCTCCAGGAGCAGAGCTCTCCATTTCCAAGGTCCCCTCCCACGCCGCAGGTCCCGCCTCCTCCTGGCCTGCCTTCCCGTAATAGAATAGGCAGGCCTGACTGCATTGCGTGTCAGCAGCCCCACGAGGCACATGCTGCAAAGACTGGCATTAGGGAACCGCAGGCACAGGCAGGCCAGATGTGTCTGCAGCCAGCAGCTCGTGAATGGTAGACCCGAGAGTCAGAACTAGGCCTCTGATCCCAGAGCCAGCATTTGATCACGCTCCCTGCTGGATTGGTCACAGCCTAACCCCTGCATGGCCTGGTTCCAGGGAGCTTTTCCTGGGAAAGCCA